TACCTACAAGGGAGCACCCATATGACTGTCAGCTGATTTCTCAACAGAAACTTTGCAGGCCAGAAGGGAGTGGCAAGAAATATTCAAAGTGATGAAAAACATGGAACTACAACCAAGATTGCTCTACCCAGCAAAGCTACCATTTAGAATTAAAGGTCAGATAAAGAACTTCTCAGGTAAGAAAAAGCTAAAGGAGTTCATCACCACCTGGCCAGCACTACAGGAAAAGTTGAAGGGTCTTCTTTAAAAAGAAGCTAATGAACAAAAGAATCTGACAAACCTAAATAGATCCAGAGACATTGACGCATGCAACAGATGATCATATTTCAGAGGAAAGAGGGAAGGGGGGTGGAGGGTGGGAAGAGACTAACCAAAGAAGTTATATGCATATATGCATAACCCATGGACACAGCCAATAACGGGGTGAAGGCCTGGGGAGGGGGTGGGAGCAAAGTGGAAGGGGTCAATTGGGAGGGAAAAATGGGACACCTGTAATACTCTCAACAATAAAGATAAAGAAGAAAAAAAAAGAATATGCCTATAGCTAAAAAAAAATAAAATAATTAAAAATAAATAAGTAAATAAATAAATGGATGTGTAAAATTTGTGTGTGGCCCTGGCAGGCTTTTGAGCTAACAGCTCTCAGACTACAGTGAAAGAAATAACCAACCTAGGGACCAATACACAGAGGCCATCTTTGGCTAATTTATATAACATGAGGTGATCTAACCCAGTTTTAAGGCTTTAAATACCACCTTTATGATGGTATTTACGTTACAGTAAGTCTTCGCTTCATTATATGCTCATTGTGATACATTAGCATACTAAACGACACACCCCGCTCCCCTGCATGATCAGAAATGGAAAGCCCATATAAGGACACAACAGAGCCAATGGGGGTCTTCACCCCTCTCCTGGAAAAATTCTGAATATTCCTCCCCCCTTATTGAGTGCCCTACCCCCTAATTAAATCTCAATAAAGGAAGCAAATCTCACTAAAGGGGGGCTGCTCTGCCTGTGGGGTAGCCCGCTCTCTGTCTCACTACTTCATTAGTAAATTCACTTTCATTATAAACTATGCTGGGTCGCCTTTGAATTCTTTCCTGCACAAAGACAAGAACCCACAGTGGGTCACAGACCCTTGGGTCCTCAGACTTCCCAGAACACCTGCATCATCTCAATTTTCCTCTACAGGCCTTAGAGGGAACATAGCCCTGACAACAACTTAATTTTGGACTTCTGGCCTCTAGAACTGTAAGAGAGTAAATTTTTGTTGTTTTAAGTCTCCCAGTTTGTGGTACTTTGTTATGGCAGCCCCAGGAAACTAGTACAATATTTATATACCAACTTGTCCACCATGAGGATGCCCCAGCAGCCATTATCCCCACACCATGTCTCACTTGCCTTTGCAAACAGCCTATCATGATCCCACAGCCAGAAGAAAGAAAAAAAAAAGACCCCAGGCAGAGAAATAATAAGCAGCCTTCTAGAACTGTGTGCCCAGATTTAGAACAACTTGCTATGAATTTATAGCGCTGATTGGCTTGCTCCCCAAATGATAAAGCTGAAGCTCTCCTGGAAAAGCATGTGACTGAAAGTTAATCTAAAAAGAATCTGGTCACATTAGCACAGGCAGTTCTTGACGTTATCAAGAAGAGGAGAATCGGGCTTTCCTGAGTGAATGAAAGCCATATGTGATCCCCAGATGTTTTTGCCACCTCCCGAAAACAGCTCTTTACCAGAACTGTCAAAACAGTAGAAATCAACCAAGTAGAAGCCTCCATTGGTGAGGAAGGAAAGGACAGGTAAAAGGAGGGAGAAGGGGAAATTGTCCAACCGTCTTACCATAAGAAGCTGCGGGCCTAACAACAGCAGCAGCCAACATTTCCTGCACCACTGTCACATTCCAGGCACTACTCTGAGTCTTTTGCCCAAACTCATGTCATTCTCATAACAACCCAGTGAGACAGATGGCCTTATTTTACTGATGAACCTGAGGTCCAGAGAGGGAAAGAAACTTGTCCAAAGTCACACAGCTACTTGGAAACAGAGTCAGAGCTCTGTCTCCTTACAGAGTAGAAATCAGACAGGCCCTGAGGGTACAGAGATCTTTCTGGACCAGCCCAGATGCTGTGATTCCCAGTCCAGAGTTCTTCCCATTATCCAGGCTTTCTCCTGGGCCCTGAAAACTGACCATCGGCTGGCGACCCCTGGAACTCTCCAGGTAATAGGATTTTTAAGTAATGTCCTATGCTATTTTTTTCAAACAGGTTCTTCAATCCTATTTAATCTTTTCCCAGCCTAGGAGAACAGGTATCTTTTCCAGATCTCTTTATCTTTCTTTTTACATCCTTGAAAGGTTTGTGTGTGTTTTTTTTATTCTGAATCCCAGACCAATAAATTCTAGTGCTGTCTTTTAGAATTCACTTTAAAGAATGGATTTGAAAATCACACTCCTCTCTACTAGCCCAAAGGAAGCTGAGAAGAAGCTTTTGCCTTCAGGTGAATCTTTTATTATTTTAAATGGATACAAACAAAATTTTGCAAGGATGGTAGCACAGTCATTGTCACAAGCATGGTAATATGTCGATTTTGCAAGAAAGAATATACTATAACTCATGCTATCCTTATTTTCAACAGCATTCTGGCAAAAATTAAAGATATTTCCAATTGCCTCAAGCACTTAATGAACAGCAAAGTCTACTTTCCGCCTTTAGCTAAATAAATGGTGTCTTTCTGTGAAGTGGTGGGAAACAGATAATGCGAAGGCTGCTTCTTAAAACAGCCCTTGGCTCCAATGACCATCAGCCCCTTCGATTGCCACTGAACTTCTCGGCTATCTTCTGTAGTTCCAAATCCATTGCGGCCAGGTTTTCAAGTTCTTTTTCCTGGAAAACACAAAACAATGGCAGCATGAGGTCCCAGATGAACTTATTTCATCATAGTTTAAGGCAATACAAACAGAACGGGGGATTGTTAATATGTTGGAGGCTATATGAGACACCCTACATCAGTGCAGCCCCCCAGCCAGCGGGGTCACTGGGGAGCACGTCAGAAACGCAGATTCTTGGACCCCACCAGGGGCCTACTGAATCCCACTCTGCATCCCTGGCGAGGCTGATGCACAGCCAAGTTTGAGAAGCATCTACATGAAAAATATGAGGAAGAGGGGACAGCTCTGATCATGTTACCTCTCCCAGATGTAAATTTCTGATTGTTACAGGCCACAAGCTGGCAAAGATAGACCAAAGCAACTAATTTCTCTATTATCTGTTCTTTCCTACCCTGGGAAATAGTGATGCAATGCCCAAGGGAAGACACCAGAGCAGTGGCTGGTTGTCAACCTTGGCTGAACACTGAAACCACCCGGGAGGGTTAAAAAATCCTGACGCCCAGGCCACACCTAGTGCCAAACAGAATCTCTGGGGGTGGGTCCCAGACATCAGCAATTCTTCAGGCCCTCCAGGGGGCTGCAGTGTGCGCCCAGGTTGAGCAGCTCTGCGATGGGAGCAGGTGGGCGGGGACGTGGGCAGTGTCGAGATAGGAGGTGAAAATCAAACCCAGAAATTGCTTCCGCTCTGTTAACTAGGGGTGCATTATCATGGTGGTTAATCCCCCGCCCCCCAGTTTCTCCCCCTTAATATCAGATAGTCTTGAACATATGCACGTTAACCATCTTAAGCTGATTTTAAACAAAGCCCCCTACCGTACCTCTTCCTCCGTGAGAACCCCGGGGCCGGCCCTGTCCTTCGCACTGTCCCCTGCGCGGCGAGGGACCAGCGGCTCCTCGGGGTCGTAGAAGTCGGGGAACTCGGCCGACTTCTTCCTGTAGTGCAGGAGCTGGTCCAGCTCGGCCACGCGGTCGTACTGGCGTTTCAGGTCCGGCCTGGGGCCCAGGCTCCTCTTCTCGTAGCCCCAGCTCTCGTCGTCCTCGAAGGGCTTCCTCTCCCACCAGTCATAGTTGTACTCGGGGAAGAAACTCTTCTCCGTCAAGGCCAGGCCGTTTCCGCCTTCGGCCTCGGGGAAGTTGTCATCCAGGCTGTCCTCCCTCCCCTGGTGGCCGCCCCTCCCCGGGGACGGGGCGAAGTAGCGGGGGAGCAGCTCCCCGGCCCTGCTCCTGTGGGTGATGCGATCGGGGGCAGACCGGGCGCCCGCAAGCCGAGCCCCCTCCCGGGTCTCCTTCGTGTCCGTGTCCCGCAGGCCCTCCTGCCGCGGCCACGTCCCGTGGGCCCCGTCCTCGCCGGTTTCCTCGCCGTAGCCGAGGTCGTTTCTGTCCAGCTCCTCCCACCCGCCTTGCAGGGGCGCCCTTGCCCTGTCCACGTGGCTTTCGTCAACAGGGTAGTGTCCTCCACCCAAGGATTGTTTCTCCCCTTTGCCTGGCAGGGAGTAGGCGCCAGGCCCCCCGGGCCTGGCTCTGGGGACGTACCCCCACCCAGGGCCCCTGCCCGCGCTTTCCTCGCCGTACCCATAGGCCATGCTGTCCAGGTCCAAGCTGGGGCGGTTTCTCTTGTCCCCCTGGCCCTCAGCCCTGGGAGGCCTGGAACCCCTCTCCTTCCCCCCCTCCAGGTTCTCGGGAGCCCGCAGCCTTGCGTACCCCCCCACCACTTCCCCATACTCGGGTTCTTCCTCTGAGGCCCTGTAGTGGGTTGGATAACGGTCCCTCTCGTCCCCTAAGCTGGCCTCGGCCGCGTTGGGCCCCTCGGACTCCGAGCGGGGCTGTCCCCTCTCCTGGGAGGATCTGTCAGGCCTGCTCCGCCCATGGTGGTGTCGTGGCCGCCAGCGCCGTTTGTCCGCCTCGTGGCTGGCATCTTCCTCGCTTTCCTCAGACTCCTCCTGGCTCCCAGACTGGCTTTTGGACTCTCTGCTCTCCTGGCTGCTCCTCTCCCGGCTGTGTGTCTTCTCCTCGGGGAGCCTGGCAGAGCGCGCGTCATACCTGGCCACCATCGCCTCTGTTTTCCCAGCGGAAGCCTGGCTTCTCGTGTCAGGAACGGCCTCGTGCGTCTCTCCTGGCTCTTCCAGGTGCCCCTCTTCCCTGCCACCGTCCCCACGCCCCATTTGCCGATCTCTCTCTCCGTCCTCTCCCTCCCTGCCCTCTCCCACGCTCTTCTCAGGATGGTGCGTCTTTGCTTCTTTGGAGACTAGGCTGTCAGAGGGATAGAGGCCCCCTTGGGGCTCCCTGGCTCCCTCTCGGCTGTGCCCGCCGCCTTCTCTGCTGGCCACCGACAGGCCCTGGGTGCCCTCCTCCCCTGGGTCTCCTCGGTCCTCCCTACTGGAGGGCCTGCGGGCTTCTGAGGCATCAGCTTGGTCTCGTAACAACCTTACTTCAAACCTTGTGTTTTCGTTTTCACTTTTCTCTTCATCTTTAACCTCTTTTCCGCCTGTAATGAAAATTTTAAAGAGTAAGTATAACTTCAGAATTGCTTGTGGTCCAACAAACACCAGCCTCAGTGATCACTACAAATCCTAAGGACCTGAAAATCATTTGGAAAAATTTTAAGTTAATAAAGAATATACCCAGATTCTTTTTAAAAGGAAGTGGTATGAAAGCTTGTTGACTATGTTTCAATCTAACAATAAACTCTCTATTTTTATTTTTTCATAACACCCAACCAGCATCTCTCATAGGTACTACCAATGATCAAATTGAAATCCAAGTATAGATTTATGAGATATTAGAATTTAGAACCAGAAGAAACCTTAGAATTTGTCTAGTTCAACTTCAACTTTTTGCAGACTAAGACCTTAAGATTCAGAGAGGCATCATTCGGGGCCATTCTTTCCATATTTGCTCTCAGTAGGAATTGAAAAGTTAACATTGCATTAATAGTTCTAACTAGAATCCAGCTAAATAAAGTTAAATAGCCAAAATAAGAAATTTCAGGATTCAAAGGAGAATTGAAAATTTTTTAATTATTAGTTTATCAGACCTTTATTATCCAATCAACTATGTAGACTCAACCTAGAAGCAAGTGACAATATAACTTAGTATTTGGTGATAAGAAGGGTATATATTTCCCCCCTGAGAAAGCTACACAGCAGTGGAAAGGCCATTTCTTCCTTCACTCAGGTCCCATCTGCCCAGCACGTTCTTAGACGTTGAGATGAAGTTTAGTATACTGAGTTTTTTTGTATTTTCAAGAGTCAACAGTACATGGTATACCCAATATTTTAATTGAATGCTATTCTCTCCCATCTTTTCCAAATGTCAACAGCTCCTTTACTAAACTCTCCTTAACTCAAGGACATCCCATGAAAGGAGATACGCAGTTAACACTGTCTGACTTGTTAGCTGGGAGGTTTGGATTTCAACTTATGTCACTGAGTTCAGAGAGAATGCCCGAAGCCAGGGCCCCTCACAGCTCCCGGTGTACATCTGAACTGTCCATTGTAGGAGCCACCAGCCCTCTCTGGCTATTTAGCATTTCAAACGTGGCTGGTCTGAACTGAGACATGCTATGACTGTAAGATACTCACAGATTTTGAAAACTTCATATAAAAAAATGTAAAATATCTCAATTTTTCATATTGATTATATGTTGAAATGACAATATTTTGAAACTATTGGATAATATGTATCATAAATATGTTGGATATGTTCAAATTGTATAGTAAATAAAATATATTAGATAAAATTAAATATATTATTAAAATTGATTTCACCTTTTTTTTTTTTTTTAATCTTCACCCAAGGATATTTTTCCCATTGCTTTTCAGAGAGTGGAAGGGAGAGAGAGAGAGACATTGATGTGAAAGAGACACATCGATTGGTTGCCTCCTGCACGCACCCTGACCAAGGCCTGAGGTTGAGCCTGCAACCAAGGTACGCGCCCTGGGCCAGAATCAAACCCAGGACCCTTCAGCCCACGGGCCAACCCTCTAACCACTGAGCCAAACCGGCTAGGGCATCACCTGTCTTTTTATCTTTTTAATGTGGCTACTAGAAAATTTGAAATTATATTTGTGGTTCCCATAATATTTTTATTAAATGGATCTGATGAGTCATATTGAGCTGACATTTACAAAATAGAAAAAAATTGGTCTGTTTTGCAAAAAATGTCCAGCCTGCCATGATAACATTCTCATGTTTTATGAGACAATTGAAATGTCCCTGACCTTTCACACCCAGACACCTGAGAGCTGGCTCCTCACCAGTCCCTTTGCCTTTTAAGAGCCAGTGGTGGTATGTGCAGCACTGAGGCTGGTGGGGCTGGCCAGGTAGGCACAGGTAAGCAGGGAGGCTTTGGTCAGATACTAACATCATTCTGAGAATCGTCAGAAATCGTGCCACCGATCAGACAGGATCTCAGCTTCCCAGGGCAGAGGCTGTGTGGCCCCTTCCTACTGCCTGCTGGTCAGGAACAGAAGTATTTTTCTTTTTTCCCAGTTAAATGTGTGCTGCCTGTAGCAGCTTGTGCCTGAGGCTCAGCACTTCCTCCTAAATTTAGCTTTAAGCCCCCGCAGGTGAGATCAGAGGAGGGCTGTGATTAGTAGCACACAGTCATTGTCAGTCTGTAAAACCAAGGGGTAAAGCTCACTCTCACTTTCAAGTAAAAAGGGGAAAATGCGCGTTCCAGCCCTAAAATGTTGCAAGGATGGCCAGGTCAACCCGGTGAAAGAGATTCTTATACCTGTTAAGAAACTGGACTACACATTCCCTAAGATGTCTTCAAGCCATAAACCAGCAATTCTTTCCTACTCCCCAAATGCTCGTATGCTGGCCCCGGAGATGTTCCAGAGAGACTGGCAATGGATAGGGAGATGGACTGGCTGTGGGAAGGAGGCTGCAAGGAGGAATTCATCCATCCAGTTGGCTGAAAGCTCCACTAGACTTTGGATCGGCTTAAGACATGTCAGCAGGGGAGAGAAAACTGGAACAGGACAGAAGTCACAAACTGGTAGCCCAGAGGTGAATTGTTTGGCCTATAATAACATTTTCAGTAAATTCTAATTCAGAAGCAATACTTAAACACCTGGAGATGTGCTTAAAAATCCCAATTTTAGCTTCTTTTGAAAAAAAAAAATCCAAGATCTGGTTACAGAGTCTGTATTTCTCCACAGGAGGGTTGGACCTGAGAAATATCTGCTCCCCCTTAGGGGCCTGTCCTGCCCACTCCTTTATCTTATCTGTTTGTCTGGAGCTCTTAAATCCTCCCAATGTCAGCGCTTTAGGACTCTCCAGATACAATGTCACCAGGGTCCTGATAGGCTTTGGTAGTTTGTTTTTTGCCAGTTTCCCTGGAGCTCTCATGACAGACACCAAAAGACCCCAGGGCACAGTCAGTGATGAGCAGAGAGGCTAGAATCCTGCGGCCACACCTAAGGGGCTAAGAATCTGATCCTGGCAGGCAAGCGGAGCCCTGCATCCAACCGCCCTTCCTAAGCCGTCAGGGTTCTTTGATGACCTAGTATGACAGGCCTCAAACTTCTGCATCCATCTGGTAAACAAAGAGAGGAGAAGGGAGATAGTGAGATGGGTTTGCCCAACAGAGCAGCCTTTAGTCCCTGCCTGAAGACCCTGCGCTCTCACTCATTCCCTGTAATGGCTGGAAAGGAAAGTCGGGAGAAATGTAGTAAGAAGCATGTACGCAGGCAGTGAAGAGAAGTTTGCACTTCCGTGGGTCCCTGNTCGGGAGAAATGTAGTGAGAAGCATGTACGCAGGCAGTGAAGAGAAGTTTGCACTTCCGTGGGTCCCTGCCCCACACCTCCTATGGTTACCCTGAAACCCCCAATGGTGGATTGAGTCCCCCCAGGTGACTCTTTTGGTCAATTGCTAATGTTTGTTTTTAACCATTCTATGGTCCAGGGTTCATGCGCAGTAATAGCAAGAAAGTATTATCTTGCAATGAGAGATTTTGAAGGAGAAAAGAAAAAGTCCACTGTTCCCAGCCTCGACTAAAAATTTAAAAGCATAGAAAGAAAGAAAAGAAAAGGTAAAAGCATAGAAAGGTGTTGCAGGGAACCGTGTTTTTTGGACTTGTTCAGTCAGTTTGACTCCATGCATAAGAGAGACTGCAGAGTTTTATAAAATTGATCTCTTAGTGTCAACTCCCGATGGATGCTGCTTGGGTCACTGTTCAAGTTTCGTTCTCAACAGAAGGTGATTTGCGTAGAGAAAACATCCCCATCTCGGTTCAGAAGGTTATTGCTCTGACTCATTGGCTGCTCTGCTTCTACCCTCACCCTTTCCAGTTCTCACGCCCAGAATTCCTGGTACCATTTGGTAGTAACTCCCTTCAAATAAGCTCTGCATTAAAATGGCTTAACCGATCTGTCATGCAAACGGGCCACAAGTTTCCTAGTCACCTTTCCCAGCTCCTAACTCAGAAGATCATCACCATTGAGAGTAGAAGGCAAAGAGATTAATTTTAAAATCTCCTTCTGTCCCTTCATCTTCCAACACTCCCAGAACACTCTGTCGTCCTGCCTCCATCACAAATGAGCGCTCCCCACATCTCCCTGCAACCACATGACAGCTTATTCTAAAAATCCAAACTCTGGAATCAATGAATTTAAGAACTGATAAGCATCTCAGAGACTGTCGTTGAGTTCAACCCCCTCATTTTACTTCGAGGAAATAAGCCTAGAGGGGCCAGGGATCTTTCCCATGGTCACACAGCTATCCAATGGCAGAGTAGGGGCTAGAAGCCATATCTTCTGCCTCCCCAGATACCAATCTAGTCTACGCTCCTCCCTCATTTGGAGGTGAAGCGGAAGGTGAACTAGAGGGAGCCAGAGCAAGGACCACTCTAGGGACAAAGCTCCCCTGCAGGGCAGGAAACTTACTCTTCCTCAGGACCTGTCGGCACTCAGGGGTGATGGGTGGAGCATTGGACTTCAACAGGGCATTTGAGAGGACCTCGATGATGCAGCGAGTCACCTGGGGGGGAAACCAAAAGCAAGTTGGCAACAGCTGGTATCGATAGGTTGAAAGACTACTCAACCCAGAGCCGTTGCCCAGAGAGGCTTGGCTGTGTGACCTGTACTGATGCAGGATCCTTGGGGTAGGAATGTAGATTTATAGGACTAATGAAACGTCCCAGGCCTCTCCACAGAGCAATGCAAGATGGCACTGGGCCAAGATCACCCCGAGAAGGGAAATGAACACCCATTTCTGAACCAGTTGGAAGGAAAATGGTAATAAAACATCAGAGGCAATAAAACATCCAGGAAAGAGGTCAGAGCCCAGGGCAGGAGGGACATCATTTGCCCCCATTCCCTCAGGGATGAAAACCTGGTTTGTTAAGACTATGTTGTGCTGTTTGTTGTTTGTTTTTGTTTTTGTTTGGTTTGGTTTGGTTTGGTTTGGTTTGGTGTAATAAGGAGTGGGAGAACCTATGGTCTAGATGTAAGTCTAGATTCTGGACTTATATCTCAACTTACCATTTCTTCATTGTGAGTCCTGGTATCCGCTGGCATGGAACTGACAGCTTTGGAAGAGAAAAAGAATGGGAAATGACGGGTCAGTTTTGAACGTGTTGTGAACCCAAACACAAAATCATGCCCCACCTCACACACGCAGTGCCTGGAGAGAGGGACAGAGTCAGAGCTGAACAGAGTGTGGAGGTTGTTGGGGCTGATTGCCCAGGAGCTATGCGTACACACACACACACACACACACACACACACACACACACACACACTGTTTTCCCTAGCAATGTCTTCAACATGATTTGGAAACGAACGCTATCTTATATCCAGTATAAATCAAATCCAGACCACAGACCAGGGGAGATCTGCGGGTACTGGTAATATTCTGTTTCTTGATCTGGGTGCTGATGACACAGGAGTGCTCAACGCATGAAAAATCATGAAGCTGTATCCTTATGATCTGTGCAGTTTTCTATGTGTATATTATACTTCAATCAAAAGTTTAAAATAAACCTAGTTTAAATTAAACCAGGGTGCCCTCCACCCTTCTGCCCATTCAAAATGGGTAAAGATCTGTGATTCCCTCTGTCTATTCCTGTCCCCCCAAAACACCCTCCCCCAAACTCACTTCCTTTACGAAAGCATGGCTGTAACTATCTCACAGAATCAATTACCTCATTTTCACCCCCAGCTCTGTGCCTGAACAAGCTTGCTCACGCATCTGTGTCAGTGAATGCTGGATATAATCCCCGTTGCCTGCAGCCACGCAAAGAACAGGGGGGTATCCAGTTCTGCTAGTAGAGCATCGAGCCCATAACATCATGTGCAAATAAATATTTAACAACTATTTATGGGGATATTTTAGTTTAACAACTATGTATGAAGGCATTTTAAAAGGATAATTTTAAGTTCATTTAAGTTAAATTTCATGAGATTCTGCTTATTTTAAACCAGAATGAAGAATATTTGTCTTCTTAGGAAATGCTTCAGGTGATTTTAATTTTCCAGCGCCTTCCTTTTTTCCTTTCCAAGCTGTTTTGATACTTCCATGTTTCACTTTGGCTTTGTGCCGTCTGAGCCTTTTCCACTGGACAAGCTCAGAGCACTTATGTACATAGAGGCTCGTTTCCTCAGCTCTCCGGGCACTGCCTGGAGGAGAAACTCAGTGCAGGAAATTCTCCTCGGTCCCTGAAACAGGAGAAGAGCCGGCTGGGGCAAGAGCAAAACCCTCAGACATCGGAGATGGAGATGTAAGCTGCTCAAATGCGGTTTATTTATAACCAGCAACCTGACCTTTCCTCCCAAAATGTTTCCTCCAGAAGCCTCTTTAACCACCTCCCTCCAAACAATTACATACATAGGGCTCAGCCCAGAAATACAACATCAGTTTCACAAATTCACCTTCCTGGATCTTCCTTTTCAAAGCATGGCCTGGGATCTACTTCAATTGTTTCAAGAGGCCCAAAGTTATCCAGCATGTTAAAATAATTCATAAACTGTTTAAGAAGTGGCTAAGAAGGTATGAAGACCCTATGTTCTTCCTGAAATGTAGTCCAGACAAGACCTAGGCAGCCCACCTTTGGAACCCAGGGTCCGCTATGCTGGGTCATTGTTTTATCCCTCAGTGGCTGCTATTTGGGACCATTCCCACTTCAGCACTCACTCTTTCCACTTGAAATCTGTAAAATCCTCTCAAAAGAAATAACAGAGAATTCCTCCTCTCATAAACTAGAAGGTGCCTTTAAAAATCTAGCTTTACTAAATTTATTTGGTATTATAGTTTCTTGCTAATACTTCCCTTCCCCTCCCCCCCAACAAATGTAAAATAGGTGTTTTTAGTAACTGCTGATACTGCCAAAGTATTATCAGTAATCAGATTTGGGAGGAGAGAAACATTTGTCTTTTATTGCTCTAAACAGTTTGCAGCTCATGTTTATTATTACAAAACACTATTGTTTCCATCAAAAAGGAACTAGGGTCTCCTGTGAAAGTACATTGTGCCTCTTGGTGAGACATATAAATGCAATTGTATTTCTTCCAACAGAATCTGTGGCAACAAAGTAACAACCAAGACATCTTGATTTCCCTAAAGTAGTTACCTTGCTTGTTTTTGCATAAAGATTCAGGAGGCACAAAAGAAAAGTCAATGATTATGTTAAAATAAAGTAGTCAAATGGTAGAAAAAAATTCAAGTAATATTGTGCGACAAATCTGAGAAAAACACCTAAAGTATTAATATCTCATAAGACTATCAAGGTTTGGTCCCAGATTGAAAATAAAGCTCTACAATAACAAGTTAAGCAGACCCTTCTGAGTACAGAAACCATCTAACCTGGTATAATGTGGATATCAGACAGCTACTTCACTCTTGTTAATTGTTAGAGTGCACAGTAGCTACTGTAAAAATGTGTAGCTCTCCCTCCAGAGGCTCTGAAGGGGAAGGAAATAAACCATATGGTTTCCTGAGGTTTCTTCCCAGCCCTGTGATTTTGCTAAATAACAAACTCTGCTTGAAGGTTATCATGTCTCATTTCCAGGTCCTGGGGAAGGTGGGAATGGAAAATAACTGCTAATGGATATGGGGTTTCTTTCTGGGGTAATGAAAATGTTCTGAAATTTGATAGTGGTTATACAATCTGTGAATATACTAAATATCACTAAATTATGTACTTTAAAGGGTGGGTTTTATGGTGGGTGAATTATAGCTCAATATAACATTTTTAAAGAATATAATGTCTCCATTTTAGCTCAAATTAAAATACGAGCCCTTCTTAAAATACTCTCTTCCATAAGAGAGCTGTAAGTATTTTACCACTATTATTAAATACGCTTCACAAATGTCACTGTTACTGTGGTGCCTAGTACAATGGATAGCACAGCTTTGGCCTCTTAAGCAATTCCTTTCTGAAGAATTTTTTTTTTTTTTTTTTACCAGAAAAACTCTAAATCATTCATTTGGATTTCTTTAAATAAACTGAGAACATTTATAGGCAATTTGTAAGAATGCAAGCACTTTAGAAAATTCTGAATGTATGTAGCTTGCAGTAAAATAAATTACCACTGGCTTTCCTTCTGTCTCTTTACATTTTGGATCCAGTAATTGCTGTCAATGAAACCTTCATATTCATGGATGCTAGTTAGAATCTCAATCTCAGATTTAAAGAAAAAATTTCTATGAGGTCATTAAAATAGCCAAAGAAAACCTCCAGTTTAATCTAGTGGTGGTCTATTTACTTCTCAGTAGTCTCAATACTCCTCAGGGCTTTACTTCAACACACACACACACACACACACACACACACACACACACACACACAATTTTTTAAAAATTGCCAGAGCTAGTTTGAAAGATTAAATCCCACATCCTTCCACACATCAAGAGACACTGTCACATATTTCATCCTGTTATATGTCAATTATACTTCAATTTTAAAAAGACAGAAAAAGTTCATCTTCCCGAATTGATTCAGACAATTTTTTTACTACTCCTAAGGATATTTTTGATGTTATTTTATATTCTATTATTCTTCTGGAATACAAAAACCAAAATATCCACTAAAGTTTCCATTCATAACTCAAAAATACATTAACTTGAATGTGAAATTACTTCTCTCCAGAGACAGAAATACAAAATGCAGAAAAAGATTATATTAACCCTGACCGCACATATACATGAACACACATACACTACATTATATATGAACATGCTGCTAAAAAGATATGATACCTTATCTACATGAGACTTACTTTTATCTCATCATGTTTCTATAATAATAATAATAACAAAGGGAAAATATGCAGGTGCCAACTCCATCAGATCACATGCACTCCTGTCTCTCCTTGGCTATCTGGTTTTAAGAAGCCAACCACACACTTAAACACGGACACAGCATAAGCCTCTAGCCGCGTCCAGGCGGTGGGGAGCCTGACGGTGGCGAGCTGAGCGCCCCGGAGGCCCGGGCGCGCGTCCTCCCCCCGCGGGGACCCTCGGGGACGCAAGGACGGGGGCTGTCCGGTTGGGCAGGGAGCCCTCCGGCTCCTTCCCAGTCAGCCCGCGGGCGGGGGTGGAAGGGAAAGGCGCAGGGCAGGGAGGAGACGAAGACCCTCCAGCGGGAGCGAGCAGCGCTGC